ATGTGACAACATAATAACAAATAAAAATTCATACACGTGTACTAATAATAATTGATGAGACTACACAACTCTACTAAGGAAATGTGATTAAATCACTGAAATCGAACAGCTCATCACCAACACTTTTTCGCTGCAATGGTGGTGAAGCGAAAGGTGTTTGCAAAGGATCGTGAGAAGGATAAGCACTGTTTTCCAGCATCCTACGGAGACTCTCTACTTGCCTACTAAGACGTTCAAAACCTTCAGTAAGTCGCTTATTCTCAGCGCGAAGGTGTTCATTTTCCTCTGTGAGTTGCTTGACTTGTGCTTCATAGGTGGCAAGCTGCATTTTCTTCTGTTCACGATAATTCCTTGCATAATTGGCCATCTTGGACGTGCTGGTAACTTTCATCGGGCGGCCGCGTCGAGATGGCTTTTGAATTGGATCATAGCGTTGAGAGTGTTGAAAAGGCTTCTCCTCGTGTTGTTCTTCTAGTTTGGGCAAAACAGCACTGCCATTTGAATCTTCATAGAATAACGTAGGCCCATTTAAGGAGACAGGTGAATGGGTTGGGTCGATGTTGCCATAGCTGGGCATCATGCACGCATCCGAGACGAGTGGATCGTAGTTGGCGAGGTCAGTGCTACACTCATCCACACTCTCTACAGCGGAAGACTCACCGAGGTACTTCATTAGAAGGCTCTCCTCGTACTCTGGCGAGTAGAACACTACAGCCTCGGGATTGTCGATATCTTTGGCACAATCTGCTCTGACAAGTGGAATACAACCTTCAGAATCAGATCTGAAAAAGTCACACAACATGACTTCTAAGAAAAGGAGAATATCGAGATTTCGAGTGACGAAACGAACACGTATGGAAGAAACACACGAGCGACAAACGCGTAGCGTCAGCAATGAGGTGAATTGATCGACGACGGGGGCCACCCCCCTCCTCCCGACTTTCGAAACATCGCTATGACACACACTCCCAGCTACCGTATCCTGCGCATTTGGCGGGTGTTCAAACGATCGCTAGTGCGCGCACTTTGTTGCAAAAAATTGTTAGAAGCGCAAAGAAAATGGCTTTTTGGATAATTTTAGAGGCTGTAATGAGCGGGTGTAATGAGGCAGTAAGGGTGGCAGCAATGATCAACGGTGATGGGGCAGTGAGGTTGGCAATAACAATAACATGACCCAAAAGCATGAGCTGCTGTATTACCAACGGCAGTTAGCGAATTTCATATTTTTGCATAATAGGTTGGTATCTATTGCCGCGTCTTAAGGACTAAATATACCGTGAATTCACATCTCACTTTTTCTTTGTTCAGTAAATAATTGACTTCACTAATAATAATAATAAAGATGCGCTGACTATGCTTCTCCACTTTCGCAAATGCTTCTCCATTATTGCAGATGCA